CTCCTCTCTTGACTAATTAATGCTCTTCAACCAAATAACCCTCTTTCTAAGTATTTCCCTCACTTTGATGAGGAGTTCATGTCATGGCTGTAAAATGCTTTTCTCTACCCAATAAATCTCCTCCCCCCCCCCCCTTCAATTTTAAGACACTTTCTGTGGCTTCGCATAGTTTTGTTTAAATTCATTTGAGTGCAGACGAATCTCAGCAATTTTCCTCTTGCAATTATATATGGACCCAAGGAGGGTGGGTGGACAGGCAGGGCGTCGCCGGCCCTCTGGGACTTGCCAGGCTGTACACAAGTATGCTGTGGGGGGGGGGGGGTGAGGTAAGAGCTGGAAATCTCCGAGGGGAATAAAATCCATTACATTTATGTAAAGCATATCGCATTGAAATGCAAATTTTTCAGTCACACCAACCTCATGAGTGGGTGGCAAGAAGCTACCTGGAGAGAGCCACCATCCGCAGCCAAATGACGGGGGGTGGGCGTGGGTGGGCGGGGGTGTCGGAGGGGATGAAATGTGCGGTTGAACACATGTGAGATTCCACCTCACAAACCCCGGAGGGGGTGTGTATGCAAATGTTTCTTGTTTTGGGTGGGTTTTTGGTTTTTAGTTCTCGGCGAATCACACTATATACATATATATATATACGTGGCAGTATGGGCTTTTAAAGCTCATGGCATTTTCCCTGTCCACACACACACACAGGCAAAACTTTAACCATATCTATCGTGTGTGTGCGCGCCTTTTCTTCTCCTATCACTTCGATCTCTTTCACGAATTACTTCCCATCAGGCCTCGATCTCGCCCAAGGGGCAAATCACAAGGGGTGATTTTTGAGGAAACTTTTAATGTTCTCTAATCACATAATCAATTATTTGTGTAAAATAATTTAAAAAATCATTATTTTCCCAAGTAAAATTGTAAAATATTTAAAATTTTAATAAAATAAAATAAAAATGATTATTTTCTCAACTAAAATTGAAAAAAGAAATTAAATTTTGAATACATAATTAAAAAAGATTATTTTATAGAGTTGAATAAAAAAAAATTAAAATATTATCAAAATATGAATATTTTGTCAAATAAAATTGAAAAAAAAAATTACAAAATATCAAAATAACCAAATATTGAATTAAATTATTAAAAAAAAAATGAATATTTTCTCAAGTAAATTTTGAAAAATAATCATATTTTGAATAAAATAATCAAAAAAAAATTCTAAACTAAAATTACATAAAAATCTTAATAATCAAATTCTGAATTAAATAATCAAAAAATGATTTTATTTTCCAAAGTAATAGTTGAGAAAAGAAACACAAATTTTGAATGACATAATAAAAAAATAAATATTTTCCAAAGAAACATTGAAAAAAATCAAATTCTAAATGAAATATAGAAAAAAGATGTTTTTTTCGATCATAATAATATTCACAATCAAAAAAATAAACCGAATTTGTATGAAATAATTAATTTTAAAATCAAATATTCAGGAGTAATTAAAAAAAAAATAAAAAAATAATCAAATTCTTATCAAATATTCAGAAAATAAACAAAAAATAATCAAAATTTGACTTAAAATCACGAAATAATCGAAAAAAGATTGAATAATCACCGAAGTTAATGGTCTCAACTGGCGAGTGACTTTCCCCTTGCTCTCGCCATGGTCATGCGGTTTGGGGGGTTGGGGGGTTGGGGGGTAAATCCTTGGCAAGTGTCTCGCACACCAAAACTTTCCTGACGCGCTTACGGGCGATGGGAAGTTTCACTGATTGGATTTTCGCACGAATTATGTGTCATTTTCGACGAAATTTCAAGCGATAAGCACTGGGAATTTCCGGCAATTTTTCCACCCCCCCAAGAAGGGATCAATGCTTGAGGCTCGCTTCTCGATTGTCTATTTAAGATTGAGTCTTGATGGGTGTGGAAAAGCCATTTGAGCTGAATGGCACGAGAGATTAAATCAGACTACTGTTAATTTCCTGAATGGTTCTCTGAGAAAATATCGGGGGGGAAATAAGAGCTGCAATGAACAAAGAAATGTACTTTAAATATCCCATCGATATATTGCGTGGGCGGGGCATCGAAATGGGCGGGGTTTATATGAATTTTTATCGTTTCTCCGCATTTGCCATGTGTTAATTGTCAAAAAGAAGATAATATAGGGAAGCTAAGTATAGGATTCCTTCTGAATTGTACGAAGAAACAATCATTTTCTAGGTTATGTTATGATTTTAGTGAATAATTAGCATTCTAGCACTTCAATTCTTATGCTAAAGTCGTCAAGATTGCTAATCATTGGCAAAATTTGGCATTTTATTAATCTTTGAAGCCAAAAAAATCACTGCAAATTGTGTTAAGGTCGAACATAACCTCAAAAAGAATCATTTGAACTTGAAAAATGTTTGTTTAGGTCATTTTCTGTGTGATTTTGACTTTAAAGTAGCAATTTTGAATTTAATGGTGGTTAAAACCGTCAAAAATAATCTAGAAAACTTCCAATTGGCATCCTTAAGTATCTCTTAGTGGTTATTTTGAGGTTATGATAAAAAAAAAACGCTTTTAAAAGCGATTTTAAGTGAATTTTTACAGAAATATCGGAAGGAAACTCAATACAACAAATTCTTTCCCTTAAAATTTGACTCCTTTGATGCCAAAAAACACTGCAAATTGTACTAAGATCAAACATAACCTCAAAAAATGTCATTTGGACTTGGAAAACGTTTGTTTAAAACACTTCCTAGGCGTTTGTTGACTCTGAATCAGCCATTTTGAGTTGAAAAGATGATTTTATCATGTAGAAAGCTTCCAATTGGAGTCTTTTAAGATCTTTTATGTGACATTTTGAGGTTATGTTTGGAGAAAAACGCTTTTAAAATCGGTTTTAAGTGATTTCTAAGACAAATATCGAATGGAAACTTAATATAAAATAAATTTCGTCTTGAATTGGACACTTTTAATGCCAAGAAAAGCCTCAAATTGTACTAAGATTGAACATAACCTCAAAAATTGTCATCGTTTTGGACAATTTTGACATAAATTCACAGAAATTCTGCAAGTTTTTGGCAGAATTAAGCATTTGGAAGCAATTAACAGTGCTTTTTCATCCTTTTATGCCAAAGAAATACTGCAAATTGTGCTAAAAATTGAACATAACCTCAAAAATTGTCATTTAGGACACTTTTTAGACAATTTTGACTCTGAATCAGCAATTCTAAGTTAATTTGCAAATTATAACAGATGATTTTGTGGTCTAGAAAGCTTCAAAACGGAGTTTTTGAAGATTCCTCAGTGATATTTTTGAGGTTATGGTGGGAAAAGACGCTCTAAAAAGCGATTTTAAGGGGATTTTGACAGAAATATCGCATGAAACCTCAAGATATTTATGAAATATTGTGGAAAGTGCGTAAAAATTTGATTAAGAGCAATTATCTCCCCCTTGTTAATTGTAATTTACACGAAGAAAGTGAGTTTCTCCAGTGGAAATGCATTGGAAAGTCTGAATGAGTGATTGTGATTGTGTTTTGCTCCCTTATAATTTGTCGCCGTGGGAAATCCTCACTCTGATTGGTGGTTTGTTTATTGAAAATCGGAGAGGAACTTGCATGGATTTCCAGGACGAGGAGAACAAGGCGAGTTGTCCTAATGAGAGAAACAATATCACACTGGTGAGGAAGTGAAGAAAAGTTTGGCCGGAAAGAAAGTGAACAAGAAGAGAAGCAAGTTATTGCTTGCAATTTCGTTTGCTAACTTGTTCCAAACTCCATCCTCTTGTCCTCCCCTGTTTCGAGAGGGGTTGTGGCGGGGGGTGGATTGAATTTTGCAGAAAGTTGCAGAGCTCGCCTAACTTTAAATATCTGCTCATCATCCGTTTTCCGGACGGAGCGACGGAAGGCGAAGCTCAATTGATAGAGAAGCTGAAAAAGAGAGAAAGAGAGAGATATTGAACAGAGAGAGTTTCCCGGTGGAAAAGTCGCCTCTTCGGTGTTTTTTTTTTTTTCGGTGTTGTCAGACCAATTTGTACAATCTTTTCCCCATTTCGACCCGCGGGATCAAAAGACATTGGCGCGTATCGTCATGGGAAAAATTCCAACAGAATCCCCAACTTCACCTTGAATTGTTGAACATTTCCAGGGTGTTTTTCCTCCCACCCCAAAACATTTTCCATCTGCGCTCACCTCCGGGCAATTTTATTGTTCAAATGGCGAGAGCCAGAAAAACTCTCTCTCTGGCGAAATTCAAGGGGCAGATATTATGATCAGGGCTGGTATTCTTGAAATTGGCCATTTTTAAGGGAGATTTCTCCTCGAAAATCTCTGCAATTCTTGGACTCTTAAAGGGAGAATGCGAGTGTGGAACAAGTTGTGGAATTTCTCTCAAATTCAAAGTCCCAACACTTGAAATAATCACAAAAATAAGCAATAATATCACACTTTTTAGGTAGGGGTAAATGGGGCAGCTTCAGATTGGGGCAGCTTCAGATTTCTTAATTTTCTCAGAGATTTTTGCATGAATAAATTCCTGGTCTTCACACAATGTTTGTGTCCTTAAGGACTACAATTGACGAAAATTTGCACAGGATTGCTTTTGTTGTTTAGATAAAATAAGTGAAAATTGAAAATCACTCACAAACTAGAATTTTGCTGCCGAATTGATTGCGTGTTTTCTCCATTAAAAAAGCCACAATTCGCGTGAAACTCTTTTACGGGATATTGAGAATTAAGTAGAGATTCTAAATATGCCAGAACTTTTCCTCCTTGGCACAGCCTTTTCAGTGGGTGGTGGAAAATGCACAAACACTGCACACGGGGCAGTTTCGGATTCGATGTGGCAACACTTGAGCGATTCGCGCTATGTGACATAACCTCACTTTCGTGCCGCAGTTGGAAGTGAACCAAAATTTTCCTTGTGGTGAAATAGTGGAAAAATAGTGCAATAACTTGCAAAATTGTGGTGTGCGGTGCAAGTTGTCACCTCTTTGTTATTTCCTCTAACGGAAAATGCGGATCTACAAGCACAAAACGCAAAGATTGAGAGCCAGCGAGGAGCTGATCCGTGAAGCGCTCGCGGACATCAGATTCCGGGGATTAACGATGAAAGCCGCCTCCGAGAAGTACGGAATACCATACACAACGATGCATTCGGTTAAAAAGAGAGCAATTGAGGCAATGGGAGACGCGTGGGGCGACGCCTCTAAGCCTACCCGAACGGGCCTCAAAAAAACCGGGATGATCTCCAAATTTGCGTCGCGCCAAGTCTTCTCGTCCCATGAGGAGCGAAATCTCGAGGAATACCTCATTGTGTGTTCAAAGCTGAGCTTTGGGCTCACGTTGGAGGCCACACAAAAGTTGGCGTATGAGCACGCCAAATTTCTGCAGCGACGATGCCCGCCAAACTGGGAGCGGGAGAAAAAGGCAGGTAGAGATTGGATCGCTGGCTTCCTCAAAAGGCATCGGTAATAAATTCGCTTTATTCGCACTAAACTAAATCAACTAAATGATTTTTGGTTTTATTATTTCAGACAAATTTCACTGCGCAAACCCGAAAATACATCTTTGGCCAGAAATATTAGCTTCAACAGAGAAAATCTGAGTATCTTTTATGATAACCTCGAATATCTATTGAAGCAGCACTCCTTTGCGCCATGCAGAATTTGGAATCTCGATGAGACTGGCTTGAGCACTGTCCTGCAAGCGCCGAGAGTTGTGGCTCCGACCAATGCCCGACAAGTCGGTCAGTGTGTGTCCGGAGAGCGAGGAGTAATGGTGTCCATCGTGGGAATTGTTAATGCATCTGGAGGCTACATGCCTCCAGTGTATTTGTTTCCAAGGAAGCGGCTTCAGAGCGTCTTCATGGAGGGTGCCCCGTCCGGGGCGATTGGCCTTCACAGCCAAAACTCGAGTTCATCCTCATATATGGACACAGAAAACTTTTTGAAGACGCTCGATCACATCCTTGTCCATGCCGCACCGTCCAAGGAGGACCCCATCCTCCTCATTCTGGACAATCACGCTTCCCACACAAGTCTGGATGCGATCAAGAAGTGTCGGGAGAATGGTATTCATATGCTGACACTGCCGCCACACACGAGTCACAAGACTCAGCCATTGGATATCAGTGTGTTCGGCCCATTTAAGTCTTATTGCAAGACTGCTTTTAATGACTGGATCACGGAAAATGCTGGACAGAAGATCACATTGCACAATATTGTGCGTATTTCCGCAAGCTCCATCGTGAAGAGCTTTTCCACTCACAATATCTGCAAGGGATTTGCAAAATGCGGAGTGCATCCATTGGACAGGTCGAAGTTAATGGAATGCATCGAATCCCCGATGGAAAATGCTTCACGAAACACTGCAGCGAAGACGCCACAGATGCCATTTGAGTCATCGACAGCATCGGACGATATTCGTCCAATCAATTTTGGTGATTCAGTGACTGATGAAGAATTCGACTTGCCGTTTCTGATGCCACCCTGTAGTCAACAACTTCCAACTGAACAGGACATTGAGGAGGATATATATATTTCATCAACGCCTCCCCCGGGTGATTTGGAGGATTTTGTAATTGCCAAAGATCAATCGAACTCTTCTCCTCACCTGAACAGTGATTCCGTTCTGATGAGATCTGAGGACGAGGCGCTTGATTTCAGCCGAGGGGCCAGAGAAGATATTCATGAGATCCCAAACATTAACAAGAGGCTACACTCCATGATTGGCGGTCCTCTGGACCTCACTTACCCGTCAGTGCCGCCATACAGCCAGCTAAGATTTGGCGGAGTAGAGCTTCATCGGCCATTGCCGAATCCACAGGCTGTTCAGAAATCAGCAAAATTTACCCGGCAAGTGTCTTCAGCGATTCTGACTGGATCACCAGAGATGAAGAAGAAGGAGGAGCAGGTGATGAAGAGGAATCTTAAGAAGGAGGAGCAGGTGATGAAGAGGAATCTTAAGAAGGAGAAGCAGGATTTGAAGAAGAAGATGAAGGAGGAGAAGCAGGATTTGAAGAAGAAGATCCAGGAGGAGAAGCGTGAATTGAAGAAAAAGATCCAGGAGGAGCGACTGAAATCGAAGCTCAAGAAAAAGAAGCCAGAGAATCGTAAGAAGACTGAACAAAAAGTGGAAACTGATGTTCCCAAAAGGAAGAGAGGGAGGCCTAGGAAGACCCCTTTAATATAGTTAATAAAAATGTTTAATTTGCAAAACTAAATTCTTTAATTTAAAATTTTCATTCAATTCAATTTTTGAGTCAACAAATAACATGCTTTTTCTCTCTCTTCATCTCACTGTGAGGTATCCTATTTTGTTTTACAATTATTTATTGTCTTATCTAACAGCTAAAGATCTTCAGATGAACCAGGAAATTAAGAACTTTTTAATAAAAAACATTTCTCTATTAAATTCACCCACTTGACTGGAGGGCAGAAACAGAATTTTCACGAGCACTCAAAGTCAAAAGAATTCTTGCATGTTTTTTCCACTAAGTAAATCCGGACGCGGCTGCACGCCGCTCTTGCTGGCAATCATGAGAACCGTGGAGAGCATTTGGTCGAGATTCTGGTTCATTCTGGCTTGGAACTACCGCCAAGGGCTTTTCCAGCTCCTCTAGGCACGCGAGTAAAATGGTGACATCTTTAGCTCTTCGGCGCTATCCTCACGGACTCCCAGTTCGAACGTGGACACGTTTTTGCCGTCACTTAGGTATTATTGTCCTGCTTGGCTGTCTTCCTCTGCGGTGTCTTGCGCGTCGGCGTGCGCTCCTCACGCTCGCTCTTGTACTTTTTCAGCCACTTTTGCACATCGGCGTTCTGGCCAAGATCCATCACCAATATGTATTTGTCGTCTCGAAGCTGGCTGAACGCGTACACCGGAGAGTGTCAATTGGCGTGCGTGAAGCCCGGATAATTACAAATGTGACTACGAGGTTATGTTTCTGTTTGTCCGGAAGCAGGCGGAGAGAGACTTCTCGTGAAAGAAAACTGTTGCAATTGCGGCACTCGATGGCTACGGTTGCTCTTCAGTATCCGTGCCGTCCGGGACTCTGGTCGTGGGCATCGGCGGCGAACTTTTGATGGAATTCCTTCATTTCTTCACCACTGTAAATAGAGAGGAAACATTATTGCAAAACGAATGAATTCAGCATTTTCTAGTTCTCACATACCTATTAATCCTGTTACTCCTCCTGATCCTTTTCTTGTTATAAGTAAGACAACAAATTTTCCTAAATTAGGAAAAATAACTCGCGAAACAATATGAGCGGGACATTTGCGGCACTGGCAGCGCTGCGAGTTCTCACATTTGACACTTTGCGGGATTGCCATATGGGAAATATGGCTTTCCGTCAATAAAATTTCTCATGTCGTGCAAGGGTCCAGAAAAGTCGCGAAAATAGTAATTTAAAGGCGATTTTTAGCGAAATAAACAGTGTCAGTGTGTAGATTAGAAACCAAAGTGATCATTTGCCCGCGATTCGACAATTCCACAATGGAATTTATGGTAAATATCAGTGAAAATCTGAAACTGCCCCAGAGCAATCCGAAACATCCCCGTGCGGGGCAGTTTCAGATAAATTACAATATTATTTTCATTCCTCTTTTAGAGGAAAAAGGATCAGTTTTAATGCTCAATGAAAGGCATTTTCTGAAGCTCAATAGACGAGAGTTTATTTGAGCGTTGTGATCATTTCAATATATTCAGCCGATTTTTCAAGAAAAAATCCTAAAGTTGGAACAGCATTTTGAATCTGAAGCTGCCCCACTTACCCCTATGTTTCTCACAAAATAAGAGATATTTGTTAAGTTTTTATGAAAAACATAAGAAATTGAAGGCAATATTATGACAATTTCTTAAGAAATCTGGCTTTTCTTGACAATTTTCTGTACTCTTTGCTACTTCTTATGAACCATAATCACTTGCAGATGAATTTTTAGATCCCATTTGAATTCTTGTTCACTTTTCTTAAATTTCAATTCTATATTATCACAAAAATAATAGAAAAAGATGGATTTTCATGAGTAATTTAGAGACAATTCACTGATAAATGGGCGGAGCTTCCGAATGGGCGTGGTTTAAGTTGTAAACACTTGAAATAATCACAAAAATAGTCAATAATATCCACTTTTTACACATGTTTCTCACTAAATAAGCAATATTTGGCGTGTTTTCATGAAAAACTTAAGATATTCACGGCATTATTATGACAATTTCTTAAGAAATCGGGCTTTTCTTGACAATTTTCTGTACTCTTTGCTACTTCTTATGAACCATAATCATTCGCGGATGAATTTTTAGATTATATTTGAGCTTGATACTTAAAGAAAAAGTGTTCTGGCAAGGTTGGAGTGCGATAAAACAGTGAACGGTGAGAAAAAAGAGCGAAAGAAGTTGAGACGTCGGACTTCTGAGGTCCAAAGGAAGCGGCTGGTGGAGTTCATGAAGGAACATCGCGAGCTACGCAAGGGCAAAGGACGTGAGATCGCGAGAAACGTTAGAAATATCAGGGAATTTCCTTCTCATTAGTTAAAGATTATTTGATTGGTTTTTCACCACATTTTGAGGACATTTGCATAAGATATCTTGATATTATTTTGACTTGATTTTAATTACTAGCTAATGGTCTCGGTCTTTTCGGAATTTTTAGCCCTCTCATTACTTATTTTAATTATTTGTTAGTTGTGTTTTAATTGAATAGTCGGTGCATTTTGCCTTTTTATCTTCTTCATGCGCTTCAAGAACACCCGCAAAGTGCAATATTTTGTATGAAATATTGCGAATTACACGCCTTAATATGTCATTTTTTACTATTTAAATTATTAATAAAATTAAAATTTATTCTTATAGCAAAACTTGTTAATATTTATTGACATTTTTGCCAAAGAAACTTGGATAAATCAATCGAATTCACGCGCCAATCGATGGTTTTACCGTCAAGAATACCAAAAACTCACTTTCCACAGTTTCTCGCCTGAAATGCCATCTCGCGCCCAGTTTTCACATTTCGACAATACCAGCCCAGAAGTGGTGTACAGCTTCTGCAGAATTGAAAATCTTTCAATTCCTTGCACTGCAAGGGCTTTTGATGCAACAAATTGAGGCATTTTCTAATTTATTAAACTAGAAAAAGTCGATTTTATTGCTTTTTCTAGGTTATGTGATTGATTTTAAACCATTAAAATAGTTTCTGCTGATTAAATAACCCTTAAAATGATGAAATTTGTGCTAATTCTTCAAATTTTAGAGGTGAGAAACAACTTGAGACTCAATCATAACCTCAAAAATGACATTTTAGTCTAGAAAAATTCATTTTTGCGTAGTTTTTTTTGCAGTTTGTGCTTTAAAATGCCAAATTCAAGGTCATTATCCTGTAGAAAATGTAGAATTGAAAGGTTTTAAATTAATTCAAGATAGATTTTTTTTTTTTTTTAATATAACTCATAACCTCACAATTTTGAGTAGAATTTGTCTAATAATTTTCTCTTAAAAATTAGATTTTTAAGATACAATTTGTCATAAATACATTTGAATACCATGAAAAGTCGATTTATCATAGTTTTCTTCTTAATCTAATTTTTGAAAAGCTTTTTATTTGTTCTTCCTGTATAAAAAATGTTGAGATTTTTAACTTAAAAGACAATTGTAAAAAAAATCTTATTTATCCAAAAAAAAGCACAAATCGACGGGTGAATGGAAAACTGTGAAAAGTCGATTTATCATAGTTTTCGTCTTATGTATTTTTGAAAAGCCTTTTATTTGTTCTTTCTGTAGAAGAATTTTAAGATTTCTATCTTATGAGACAATAGAAAAAAATCTTATTTATCTAAAAAGCACAAATAGAAAAAAAATTGTCATGTTTTGCGAATGAAAAATCGAATTTTCATTGTTTACGGTGTACAATTTTTCCAAGAAAAATGTCTCAAAAATTGCAGTCAAATGAATAAAATGTCTTTTTAGAAAATATTTGTAGATTTTCAGAATTATTCTAAAATGTTTTTTTGGTCTTTAAATGAATATTTTTCATATCTTTTAAATTTTTTCACTTGAAAACATTAAGAAAAAGTTCAATTGAAGGAAGAAAAGTTGATTTTTTGTATAAAATCGACTCAAAAACCATTAAAAATCGACTTTGAAAAGTAATATTTTCAGATTTTCTATTAATTTTGCCACATTTTAGTCAAAAATTTCAATAAATAAACCAATAAAACATTTACAAAATAAAAAATACAGAGAAATATTTTCACTTTAACGAACGATTTGAAGGCATTTTGAGTATTTTGAAGTAAATTTTTGGCAAATTTCGCAGCTGTTTTAATGCCAAAATTTTTAACTCGCTTTGCTGAAAAATGGCGATTTTGACTTTTTATAGTTTTCGAGGCACCCGTCGAAATGGATGAAAATTGGAAAGAGTTTTCGAAGAAAAATGTCTCAAAAATTACAGTGACAAGCATAAAATGACGTTTCTGAAAATAATTTTTAATTTTTAGAATGATTTTCAAATTGTTTTTAATTTTTTATGAATATTTCTAATATCTTTCAAATTTTTTTCACTTGAAAACTTCAAAGAAAAGTATAAAAAGTTGTTTTTTTGGAACTTTTTTTTGGATTAAATCGACTCGAAAACCATTAAAAATCGACTTTGGAAAGTTATATTTTCAGATTCTCAATTAATTTTGCCATATTTTAGTGAAAAAATTTAATAAATACCAATAAAATCAACTAAAATGTTAACAAAAAAATAAATTCAGAGCAATATTTGCACTTTAACGGACAATTTGATGGCGTTTTGAAGGAAATTTGACAAATTTCGCAGCTCTTTTAGTGCTAAATTTTGAATTTGCGTTGCTGAAAATTGGTGATTTTTCCTTTTGACAATTTTCGAGGCAACCTTTAACCTCTTGAGGCGGAAAAATCTGGGATTAAATTGTGATAAGTTCGTAATAAGAACAAGAAACTGTTCAAGAAGTCTAAAAAGCGATAGAAAATGTCTTTAAAGGTGTTCAAAAGTGTCTCAGAAGTGTTAAAGATTCTCTGCACAGAAACTGTAACAAAATGGTGTACAGATTCATGGCATATTTGGCTCCACCTTGGCGAAATCCTGGAGTTTTGCGGTGTAAAAAAGAATGGCCAAGAACACAGTCGCATGGAGTGGCAGAAAAAGCGCGGGGTTGCGGCTTTTCTGGCCG